ATTTCAATATGGAACTTTTGAAATTACAATGATTAATTTTCAATATCTAAACAAGTTCGACTATCATCGAGTTATATATACGTGTGTCTGAAAACAATATCAAATTAATGGCCTTGAAATCGGGTCATTACTTGCTTATGAATCTACATTAGAACTTAAAAATTTTAAACTTTATGCTAAACATTTGAGTTCTTTATTTATTTAATGTATTTTCGAGATTCTTTTGTCTCTTGTCGTCTAGCCAAACTGACGAGTTATGATAATGATCCCAGGGCCTCTTAGAGATGAACTTGTTGGAGACAAAAGATAGATCTGAAACGTTATTTTTACACTTCCTGTCTTAGTATTTATTTCAAGCATATTTTATATTCAAATGGTTTGAATTATTGCTTTCTAAAAACAATTTCTAATGTTTGTTTGTTGTTAAGCACAAAACTATAGAATGGGCTATCTGTACTGGGCGCACCACAAGTATCGATTTTTTATCAGTTGTGCTTCTAGTTTATCTAACTATGGGCTCATTACATTTCATATACGGGAAATACGATGATTTAGACTATCCATGAATGTTTTCCGATTTTTCCGAATGATACATCTCATGTACGTTATAAGCTAATCCTGACTGTTGTGAAAATTCAAGATGTGAACACGGAACCGATTTTGAATCCACACACAAATTTGAAACAGTATAACATCTGAATCCAACAGAAACGCGCAGCTGTTAGTACGAGTGCCAACTGTTACGTTGTATGTAAAAACAAAAGAAATCTGTATTGGTAACCGTTACTTGGAATCATTATTTAGAAACCAACACTGTATGGCTATCATGTACAACTTCGTCTTCACCAGTGCATCGAAACCTTTAATGAAGTATGTGAATACTGTATATTGTCAGAAATACCGATCTAGCAGATTTCAATGAAATTGGTTACTGTGGTATTAACTTGGACAATAAGCAGGAAAAACAGTGCAGTACACATATGAGATGGCAAAACTGCATGCAAAAATTGGAGTTTAAACATGTTTAGAAAACATGTAAAGAGAAAACAGTCAACAGCCATTTTGAAAAACAAATATATACCAGAACACACACACACACACAAACGTGTATTATATAATGGTGGAAAGAATTTACGTTGTTAATATACCGTTCACTTCTTGAACTTCGCAAGCAATCATGCCGCGTCATCTGTCTATTGTGTTGCTTTACCCTGTAGAACGTGTCGTTCACACTCTGGCCGTATAGTGTACAGCGTTTCTACTCTGACCTCGGTCAAATTTGTATTATCAGAATATGTAATGGTAAAATATAGTGCAAAGTTCGGTAGTTTTATTAACTGTGTTATTAGTCTTTCAACAGAAATTTGTGTAACTTCAACCAAAAAAAACCTCAATCTTGAAATAAGTTGAGCGATTTAACTTTGTCCTTTTTGAAACAGATGGTTTGAACCCGCTACCAGCGCCGAAGGGACCATATTTGTTAGCTGCATGTATTCAGTAGCTTAATTAGCTGTTGTGATAAAGACTTCAGGGATGATAATTGGCCACCATCTAGTGGATTTCCTCCGTTTCTGTTATCAGATTGGCAACCCACCCAATTCTGTCAAATCCAGTGAGAAAAACGTTGGAAGAAGGGGGTTGCTGGGGCCGGAGGAAAATATTAGTACTATAAGTAAATATATAAGGCAAAATTGTTGAAACTATTTTCAGTAACTAAGGGCATTCTGTTACAAAAAATTAAAACATACTAAAAACGAATTGAATATAACAGGCTCTACACTCCGAAATTATTTTCAGCCTCATGAGCAATGTTATATACAGAAGGATGAAATCTTGGAACTGGGTAATTTCAGACATTCGAGAAATCATTGTCTTACTGATTTGATACATTATTTGACATTTATTATTCCAAAAGCTATTTTTGGTCACAGTGCATACAACTTCTAGCATCCATGAATTTGCTTTAGGACTGAAAGTGTTTTCGGATGGGAGAGGTTTGTGAATGAACATGCATAATGTCTTATATCTGCTTTTTTAAGACTCAGTTTATAGATGATTGATCAGTGATTTGCCTTATTTGAAACCGATATATTGAAGTATTGTCATAGTATTTCATCAAAAAAAAAAGTTTGGACTTCTGGTTTAGTCATTATAAACACTTGCATGTAGTGTCTGCCTAAATATTTCAGGAAATGGCCAGTTTGCATGTTTTTATGGAACATAAGTTTATGAAAATCTAGTGTTTACTGGTCATTCTACCAGTAAGTAATGTTAATATTTAGTACATCAAAATGGTCTACAACACACCAGAGATCCCTCTTGCTTCCGGGAGACAGCCCCTCCTGGCCTTTATGGGCTTAGAACTAGAACCGACGAAAAGTTCCATCATTGTTTCCTCAAAAATATTAAGTAACATATAACTAACTCATAGCTGTATATATACACACACAAGTTATGCACAAATACGGTATTATTACTATCATTTATGTCTACACACACATACATATATATAATATAATGACGATACGGGACTTCCATTTGTTTTGCACAGTGCAATCATAACGAAAAAAACCGTAAAAGTTGTGATGCAGAAGAAGATGTAGATCGTATATGTATAAATGTTTGTACCTCAAATTTTGTGACTACTGACCGAAGATTGACCTTTAAGGCGCCACAAAATACACTGACTGTATGTATTAAAAATGCATGATATGTCTAGTAAGGAACCAGTCGTGAGGAAAGGCAGCTGCCTAAGGACTATCGCTATGCGGGGCATGCATAGAAATGTTTTATAAGTAATTCTTCAAGATGAAGCTGAAAAACCCTAAAAACATCCATTAATAAACGTACCACGTCGTTCTGTTGTGCAATTTTCCTTATTAAAAGTATTTCCATTCATCAGTAAGCTCATTTCAAAATATAATATGCACATGCAGATGTTTTAATATTTTATAAATAAGGTAATAATATCTGTATGTTCGTCAGTCAAAGATAATGCTGTTTTAAGAGTAAAATTCATTACTATGATTAAACAACGAAAAGAAGTAGATTAAAATATTTTCCACATTTGTTTTGTATTTAGTAAGAGTGTTGAAAACATTTTTATCTGCTTCTTGTCGTCGTTTTATTAATATCTATATGTCAGTGTGTTTGTATTCCTCTAAAATTTGGAAGAAGAGTGGGATAACGTAATTCAAGTTTTCAACAAATGAAATAAATAAATATATATATATAATGAACAATATCCAAGTTTGTTTGTTTGTTGTTGTTGTTTTGCCGCGCCCGGCATGGCCAAGTGGTTAGGGCGCTCGACTCGCAATCTGCAGGTGGGGGCGTTATAATGTGTCGGTCAATCCCACTATTCGTGACTAGCTGCCTTCCCTCTAGTCTTACACTGCTAAATTAGGGACGGCTAGCGCAGATAGCCCTCGTGTAGCTTTGCGTGAAATTCAAAACAAACAAGTTGTTTTGCTCTTGTCGTTCAAAATCCATGCATTGGAAAGATAGTTTTGCTAATATGAAAAATATATTTTTTAATATTATTATTTATTTTGATTTTTTTTTATTACTGGATACTTTGAGGATCCTGCAGACCTGTATCTTTATATTTTGCTTAGGGCGCCGCAGTGGCTATAAGGCCAGCACTGACTGTGTGTTCAAGAAGGCTTCTTGCTGTTTAATTAACAAACACTATGTTATCAGGGTTTCTAGTTTGTGGTAGAAGTTGGCTAACTATAAGTCTATAATAATTCTGCAATCGGACTCTTATTTTCAAAGCATGGTTCATAACTAGGGTTCTCACTTTGTTGACAAAATGACTAATGATGAAATCAGATACAGCGTGTTTATTTGAACTCCAATTATTTTGTTTTTGATCGTAGTTTTTCCTTATAAAATGCGTAACAAATCACAGGTGTATTATACTCACAATCTCTGTTTTTGATGGGTTATTTTGTCATATTACTGACATTGTGAAGTCACAAATAAAAAGCTGAACCTTTTGAGTAGTAACAAGGTCTTCAAAGAGAAATCATACTGAGAATATACAAAAGTCTATCTTTAGTTTTTAAATATATATTTATTAAATTGAGTATTTCATGATAACTAACAGGAAAAATTAAACCAGATGCACAATAATAATCTTGAACTAATCATTGCGCCGAAGATAATCATGACATTTAAAAACAACAAAACAAAAAGTTCATTGTATTACAGTGGATAAATCACACTTTATTTCAACGTTTTATATATGCTAATACAGTAGCTTGGCGCCATGGACATCATATTTAACGCATTTGTATTTGGTTCATGGCAAATTCTTAACCATCTGACAGTGTAGTATTGTCACTGGAGGACTTGTAGCTGGAGGAAAGGGTTTGTTTATATATATATATAAACATTACATTGAAGAGAATCATTCATGCAGCCAAAAAGTATTGAAGTGTTTTATATTCTCGGTAAAATGGGGGGAAAAAAAGACACTGTAGAGCATTTAGGAGAGTAACTCAACCCTGACCAAAGTCTTTATCCGCAAAGTGAAGGTTATAGTTCCGAAAGAGAATCCTCGACCCCCCCCCCAAAAAAAAACATTAGAGTGACACTCTGCACGTTTTCTGATACAATATTTGAAATAACGAAGGCTCGCAAGCTTCCAGCCACATCTCCCAACCACCAGTTGTTTTCTCGAGAAAGATTATCAAACAAACAAAAATCGTAGCATTACCATTTAACTATATGGTTCAAGTCTTCCTGGTGCAACTCCGATGAATTTTCGTTTTTTAATCTACTTAAATACTGTCTTGTGTATTGGAAGCTAGTGACCACGTACATTAGAAGATCGAGGGGAAAGTTGTCAAGGTCTATATTCTAAGATTGAATCGCCATCCATCACAGTAACTTGTTACACTTGAAATTGCGATTTGAGCAGTGTGCGTAAATGATGACCATCAGACCGAACACGATCGGCGATGGAAGTGGTAGTACCAAGGATAACGCTAGACCTTGAACATTATTTTTACAAAAGGCAAGTAACCCAGCACTTAAAAGTAACAAATTAAAAAGGAAAATGGAACAAGTTACAGTAGAACCTCAACATTAAAGGCACCCTTCCGTCCAAATGCCCTCTATAGCAAGGTGACTTTAATATAAATAATTAACCACACAAAGCTAGATTCCATATTGGCCAAACTAAATTTCTGAATTTTAAGGCCCGCCATTTTGTTTGGTGTATGCAGGACACGGGTGTTTGTGAGTTGCACGTTTCTATGACATGGTGCATTGTCAACAGGAGGTCTCAGGGGTGTATTAGCTGTGCCGCCCTTTTTTTTTTTCTCTATTGGTCACAAAGTTTCAAAGTACTTCTCTGCAGAGTTTGAACTGCTAAGCATTCCACATTTACTTTGTGTTTATTTTACTGTCGATGACTAAAGTAGAAGTCCTCTGAAAATAAAACACCTTAATATGACACCACCGAGAGCAACAAAGCGCACACACACATAAATAAGCCGACATGACTCCTGCTCCAAGAACACAATGTGTAATTTATTAGCTTATGTATCCTACAGTGTTCACAACGAGAATTCCCCAGAGTAATAAGATTACACTTTGAATCTGTGAAAACGTTTATTACAGTATATGTTTCGGAGCCAATCCCATAAACATCGCAAATGTTTGACTATTGGTCATCCTTCTGGGATGTTTGGAGTTTAATGGTATACCATACAGGCATACAAAGATAACTGCCCGCTTTATGGAATGCCCGTGTAGAGAATAAGACTAAAGACACTGCCCTTAATCAGAATATCGAGGTGCAGGTGCCCGTTATTGCAATATTTATTTCGGTTACAAATAGTAGAAAAAAAAAGTAAGAGACTGAAAAGGTCTGTCCTTAATGGCGCGGTGCCCATTAATCGAGGTTCTACTGTATACTGTTGCTTACAAAACGTGTACAAATACGTAATATTTTTTCTCATTATAATATATTCGCGAAACTTATATTTTTAATATTAAATACTGTAAGAGTAATTTACACAATCAAGTTATTTCAAGTACGAAGTATAAATAACAAATTACAATGTAAGGCATTTTCGTTTGGCATAGAGCAGTCTCTGTTTTTCTTGCTACAAGCAACCAATAACAACTTGAAAAGTCATATCAAACGATTACATACTGACACATATGTGTGCCATATTTATAAAGCTTTTTTTGACAGAAAACAAAACTATCAATGAAACGAGAACGTTTAAACCATACCATTTGTCAACTTGTCCAACATTCGCAAGGTAATACGTCAAAGTAACTAAGTAGTTTCATACAAGTTTGTGTACCTCAGGCCATTGGCTTCCCTGACAAGGTACCATTTTTGAGATAGTATGATTGAGAGAAAATGGGGATGATAACAACAACAAAAAAGGTATGTACAGAACAAGGGGTCGTTAGCCTGTAAATAACTCCAGGAAGAGGTCCTGACCTAAAGGTAGGGCTCTTGTTCCATATAGCTTCTTTTTATCCCGGCTTATTATTTTCTATCAAGCGAGACTTAAAGCCATCCGTCATTCAACTTAATTAACTACTGAAACCAGCATTTAATAATGAACTGTTACTTGTATCCTTGAGGAAAATGGGGCTGGTAAACAGTACCCGATGTTTAATACTATAGTAAAACAGTGTAGTATTAGTTATGCATGCATATGGTACCTCCTCCCGAAGAACAAATGCTGCTGAAGTTGCGACGATACCTAACTGATCCAAAACGTTTTATAGGATTTTGCACTGTTTTTTAGTGCGCCTGTGTGGGTGTGTTTTGATTCTTGATAGCTGGATTGCCATTTCAATTCACAGATATAGTATCATATATCGTTTTGGTTTAGCATAAATTTAATATTCCTGAACATTTTTAATTTTTAGACCTAAAACTTCTAATTATGTTAGTTTCGGTTTTTGTTTGTTGATTTTCGATCAAAGCTACTCAGCGCTAGCCGTCTACAATTTTAAAGTGATAAGACTATCACAAACAAACAAACTATTCTTTGTGCAAAAATTCCCATGAAATAAAAAACAACAAATATCTCCACATTTATGTACTAAGTAGTTAATTCTAATCCTTTGATAGTTGCCAGCTATTCTATGGATATTTTAGAGGTCTTTTGAAAAATTGCTACTGAAACGTGAATAAAGTTGTCTTATCTTCACTTCAGTCGGGGTGATATAACGTGGCCAAATAATAGCCCAAAAGTTGACGTTGACTAGCTGCATTCCTTATAGTCTATTACATCTAAATTAGAATTGGTGTCAAAAACTCATGGTATAACATTATCGAATTAGTGAGGTATATGTTACTGATTTTCATGAAAAGAGAATCATCAACGTTGTGCTTGAAAAGTATATGACGTATTGCTTATAAATAGGAGTTATTAAATTTTGAATTTACCAAATGTTTTACCCAATAATAGCTGTTCCCGATTCAAAGTCACGGGTGCATGTTTACTGAAGTCTTTAAAAAATTAAGAAAATTGCCAAGGCCCTCTTCTCTAGCATCTTAAGGTTACTTAAGTAGTCATTGACCCAAAAAGGATGCGTGAAACTCTTAAAAGAGCTTCTCAAAACATTTCTCCTAAGCCTTATGAGCAACTGTTCTCAACTTTACACTCGCCAGTGGTCTTACAACAGTTGTTCATTGGTAATAGTTTTGCCGTTTCATGTACAAAGTTATAAAACTTATTTTTTAATGATTTGCAACCCTAGGGGTCGTTCAAAACTTTTGTCAGCTCCCCCCCCCTCCCCGTAAAAGCGAACACATAAAGGAAAAGAAAAAAAAAAAGAGAGAGAGATTTTATCGGAGAATACTAAAGTGGTGCTTGAGTCCAAAAAGTGTGCCAAAGTTGCTGCTGGTTAATATTTTTGCACATTATTTGTTGATAACAAATTACGTCCTTCAATATTTTTTAAAAGGAGTATACAGCTTCCCAATAGTCCAGCGTAGGTTTTGTTCACTCTGGAAAGTGGTAAAAAAATGTCTTGCTTTTCTAAAGTATGATTTCACACACACCTATTAATATAAATATAACCATTAAATGTGTGAATAACATACCAGTTGCACACTGTAACTAACAAAGTAGAACGTACTAACATGCTTGGAAATCCAAAAAATGTGAGGAAGCGATATTTAATTATTTTAGTTATGTTATTGATGGTAGGTGAGAGACAACAGAGGGGAGTGATATCTCTTAAATCTCCAAAATAAATAATTATTTGAAATAAGTAGGTCTACAGAATTTGTTATGGTGAAATTTGTCATTTTTTAATGAAAGTTAGTATTACACTTTTGTTAGAAACGAAAAAAATCATGAAGTTTGCACTTATTTCAGATACTGTAGTAAATTTAACGTTTGTTAGTTTAAATAAATGTGAAAAACTACATAAGATGATTAGTCAGAATTCTTGTCTGAAAATATAAAAAAAATGAGAACTGTTAATTTTGAAAGCCAACTGTAATGTGACATTTTTTGTGTTTTATTTCACCTCATCTAGTGTTTTCGGTAGGTCATGTACGAGATAATGTTGAAATATCTGGAACTGGATAATTAATTATTAATTGTTTATAATGTTCTGAGCTATTCTGGAATATGCAAAAATTCGGTTGTAAAGATATTTATACGCTGTAGAAATGTTGGGATTTTAAAATTATAATTGACTGCACAAATTTATTTTAATCATTCTTCAGAACTCTTTACAGATGTTAAGATAACGTCTATCTAAAATCAAAAGCATTCATCAACTAAAATTTTAATATTTCAGATACATTTGCTTATGTTTTGTTTTTAATATTAAATGTATCTATTCTTTTCTTTTAGTTCTATTTGATTTATCAATATAAAATGTCAAGCCCCAAGAAAGAAGATCTTCCAAAGGTTTCCCCAGCTATTAAGGATGAATTAGCTCAGTTTGATTCTACCAGAATGAAACATGCAGAGACCAAGGAAAAACAACATCTTCCAACAAAGGAGGGTGAGTAATGGTACTTTGCTTGTTAAGCTTCAGTAATCTTGTTTATATTTGACCACACTTTCTAACAGTGGTTTCTTGATACATAATTTGTCTTTTGTAAACATCAGCTATTATCAGCACAGTCAGATAGAATCCAGAATTGTTTTTTTAGTATTTCAAAATTTTATAGCGTGTACACTACGTTTGGGACCAAGAGAGTGTTATAAGAGTGACAGTCAGTTTACACAATTCAAACAGACTTATTAGAGCATCCCAAGAGTTGGCAGAGAATGTTATTGAGTATCTCCATTCTCTCTAGACTATCAGTTCAAAAATTAGAGATAGCTAATGTAGATAATTCTGTACAGTTTAGCATAAATATTTAAAATTATTACAAAATTAACACAACATTATTATTGGTATATACCAAAAGGTAAACTTAACAGTGTTGTTAATGAAACTTGTAGACATTAGAGTAGTGAAGCTGTTAAGTTCTTTAATTCAACTTGAGTAAAAAAAGTTTTTTTAAGGATTCTGTTCTTTCTTACTACACAGCAGTCAGTAGGGATTATTTCTTTAATCATATTGCACAGCAAAAACTAAGTAGTTCCGATACCGTATATTACTTAGTTTCACATAAATAGCAATTCTCGTTCAGTGCTGCCCTGTATGTGCAAAAACAAACTTTTTTGCGCATGCCACAAACCTTGAAGCTCCCACATCTAGAATTCACTGATTCCAATGCGTCTCGCATGTAAATCATCATGCGAAAACACTCAATCAGTAAGAGTGCGACATACTCTCTTGGCGCATGTGACTCCATCTATTCAATTCTACCAAACTATCACTTCTGGTTTGGCAGTGCTCTGTTTAAGTGTTTTTCTATATTTTTGTATTAATTGCTCTCATCCAGTTTACTCTTTATTATACAATAGTGATTTTTATAACTAGTTAAATTATCCCGAAGTGGAATTAAGTTTCTACCACGTTACAGAATTAATACTTCATTACAAAATCTTTTTTATTTCCTTCTGCCAACACAGTTCTGTTTGGTTATTCATTTTGCATTACGAATTCTAGCGTTTCCTCTTCAGAGGTTACATGTTCTATCAACGCATTTTACGCTAGCTTTACCGCGGTACTCCGCGGGAAACTTACCGGCTTTACTTCATCGGGAGATTGATTGTTCAATTAGCTGACCTTGGTCGGGCATCGCCCCGAGTTTGAGGGCCCACACATTTTGAAATACAGTCCGCCGACTTTGGAAAGATAAGACGTTATACTGTTATGATTTGTGAATAACTCAATTTTTATTATTGGTATCTGTAGTTATCTGAATTCTATAAAGTAAGTTTCGTTAGGTTGGTCGATACTCATAGTCCAGTTCAGGTTAGATATTAGGCTTAGTTTTATCTTTTCTCCTATACCATTTGCTAGGCTTACCAGGGATATTTGTTATTTTAGGATAACATGTAATTCATCTTACTGGTATATCAATCATTCATTAACTATCTTGTTTTTCTTCCATATATCACGTCTCAAAGATAGGTTAATGCTAATACACACTTCCTTCATTTTAACAAATTTGTTATTTTTATACTTCTTCATATTCAGTGGTGGGATTCAAATATTTTAACAACAGGTTCTCTCACTAGCAGCATGTAATAATATTAGATATTAAAAAAAGGAGGGGCCAGAAAGCCCCCCCCCACCCCCCCATCACTGAGAAAATAAAAATAGGCCGTCACGGATAGTGTTAAAGATTCTTTAGAAACTCTCAATTAAAAAAGTGTTTTATAATCTTTCAACTTAACAAAA